CCAACTATGCCCCTACCATGCCTGAACCTAAGGGATAGTCACTGTCGATTCTGACAGTATGGAAGGCCTCAGTGAGAGTACTGATGGATCAGAGCAAAAACATGGGAAGGAGGGACAGGAATAGGAGAGAAAGCTGGAGGATGAGAAACAGTAACAGTCTTGGATTGCAAAAAGATTGGAAACTAGAGAAGAAATGGAGGAGTGTTGGAGCACAGCCTCCACACAAGATTCCATAAACTTGGGACATCCCGAAAAACAGACTGGCAGTTGAAAGAAGCAAAGTGAAGTTCACGTAGATACGAAGTAGGCAAATGCACCTGAAAAAGCAGGGTGTCCCCCCCTAATAATTTCCAACAACGAAGCAACCATGTATGGAGAGACAAAGCTGAAAAAGATACAAGTGCCAACATAGAAAAAAATAAGGGAATGAGTATCCGCCAAAAATCCCACAGGGGAACAGTGGATAGCCTCAGAAAACAGGTGGATAGACAAGAGATAATGTCGCAGAATAGTAAGGGTGTGACGAAGATGTGAGAATTGGACTGGAAAAAGACAAAGAGAAAGGATAGGATTGTATCCTCAAGCCTGAATAAGGTTCCAAAGTCTGAGAGTAAAGAAAGGGAAACTCAGCCTGATGGTAGGCCAAGGCATGTGTGTTTGCCATATTAGGAGGACAAGGCATGCTGGCCTCAGCACAAAGGTAAGAAAGAAACTGATCTACATGGACCTGAATATCTGGGAAGAAAGGGGAGAAACAAAATAATCATATGCTGGGCCAGAATGGAGAAGAAAAGGGGAATAATCATAAGACACAGGAGAAATGGACAAAACGTCACAAATCTGAGACATCATATCCAAGAATGACAAGGTAGATCAATGGCACTGGATTGAGAAGGTGCAGCAAAAGCAGGAGATTCCAAGGGAAAGGAACACCTGTCACAAGGTCAGATGACAGATCAGGCCACATGCATGAACTCCAACTCCTGATGTACTACAGTCAATACCTCCTCAACAGAGAGGAGCCAGATACCACAGAAGCAATCTGTCGAGCATGATCAAGAACTTGCGAATAGACACCAGATGAAGTAACAATAACTTGAACTTACAAGTTTACAATGTAGAAAGGAAGGAAAAAATAATCAAAAGCCATCCACAAACTAAGTAGAGACAAAAGAAAATTTTTTTCTACACATGCGAGTGCCAAATCGTGAAATGATGATTGAACAATCAGTATCGTGAGAGTTAGCTCTGCTAGAAGGGTGTGTTTCACTCCTCTTGGTGGAGAGTTATCGCATGCTCATTTGCATGCTACAGTGCAGCAATACAACATGGAAACACGTGAGTTTAGGTGGGAGCTTCTAGGCCAGTGGTGAGCAAAATCGTGGAAAGCTAATATGTGAGAAGAGGTATGGTACTGTACCAGAAAATGGGATTTTTTATTTTAAGTGAAACAGTACACCAAAATACATGAATATTAAGTATAACCAGAAAGATTACAATTCTGGCAAAACATATAAAAAAGGCTAGGCAGCTATATCAATGTAAATTTTAAACTAGCTTTCATCTTTCAAAAACTTATATGAGTATATTATTAAATTAAATTCTATCACATCCTGGTAACCTAGATTTTTCTTAAGTATAAATGCTTTATTTTGATTAAAGTTACACAAATATTGAAAAACAAATATCTAAGAAATTTATCTTTTAATCAGATATAAAACAAAATTCATCATATTCATGACAAATTCATTCTACTGCTAATTTAATAATAGTATAGGATGCAATTTTGGTTTATTCACAAAACATTATGCATTCAAATAATAATTAATAAACCAAAATTCTGATAATGCTTTTTAGACTAAAAAAATTAGATAAACAGATTTTAACTAGTATAATTAAACTAAAGCTTTTTAAAAATTACTTCTAAGCATGTTCTGATTTCAGATTTACTACATAACACCTTTAACAATACAATTTACTGATATTTTTTAAAATATTTAGTAGTAAGTTTTATAAAATAGTACTCAGTTTAAAAATAATAATAATATCACAGAAGATTTATATAAAACTCTAAAAAATTGTTACAGTTATAAAATAAAAAAACATATATATGTATATAGGTTATTCCAATTCCAACATACCTGTTTAGGTGCAAACCATGTGCAAGATCATCTTTAGTAACTACATTCATCTAATAGCAACATATATATATATCTTAGGTTTTAGTATAATGTTCATATAGGCATGTGAACGTTATGGGGACTGGAATACCAACATCAGGAGATAAGATTTAGTTATCATCACCAGTCAGTCATTCACTTGATATATTCATTTTTATAATTAATCTGTTTCATTAAAAGGAACTATTACCCCACAACAGTCTATGAACATACTCAAAAGGTGAAACTTTGTAGAATGGACGGCAACTGCTTGTTGTAGAGACACAAGTCTTCCATCTTTCATCTTCGGGTAAGTGTGTGTAAGGTGCTGTCGATCTTTATAGTATTCTGGTAAATTGTAGAGAGCATGTTATGATTGGTTGGTTTATCCCTGTTTCTGATTGGAGATGAAATTTCCTTTATATTGAACAAATGGTAGTCATAGGTTACTGACCTCTAATCCGGCATCTCTGTTTAGTGAAGGTTTAATTGTGTTAATATAAAATTAACAAGAAAAACAAGAAAAATTAAAGAATCATTTTATATTAACACAATTAAACTTTCACTAAACAGAGATGCCAGATTAGAGGTGAGTAACCTGTGGCTTCCATTGTTTGAATCTACAGAAAATCTCTCCTCCAATCATAAACAGGAATAAACTAACCAATCATAAAATGCTCTCCACAATCCACCAGAATACTATAAGGACCAACAACACCTTACACACAATGACCCGAAGATGAAAGGCAGAAGACTTTTGAAATGTCGTCCTCTACACTTGTGTCTCTACAACAGGCAGTTGCCATCATTATACAAAGTTTCATCATGAATACTCTGCCTAAACAATCTATCAAAGTATACTCAAAAGGTACTTTAGATATGGGGCATTACATGCTTGAGCATCAATACGTGCACTTAATTTTACTTATTTATCTTTTTTCTTCCATATCTAAGAGTTATTAAGAATAAAGGTTAAACCTAATAAATGTTGTATATTTATCACAGTTGAATCCTATATTTAGAAATATGTCTCTTAATGAATTAAATTTAATCTTTACTACACCGTAGTTTGTGCCCTAGTTTTATGTGAGTTTTTTATGCTCAGTAATTCTGACCTATCTTATGATTTATGGAAATTGAATTAAAAACATGCAAAAATTTTTAAACTGTGTATAACACTTCTCTAATGTTAATAAAATATTCTGATAAAACATTACTTACTTCTGGACCATCAGTTTTGAAATATTCAAACATACAAGACATATTTGTAAGAATTTCTTTGTGAATGGCTCCAATTTCACTCACTATAATTTCTTGGTGTTTTTTCTGTAAATGTTTTTAGTTGTATGTTAAAAAAATACAACAGTTTCATTTTTTGGTATATTTTTTAAAAATAAATTCAGTTATTTATATTTATTTTTTACAGAAACTAACCAGTATTTCTGCTTATATACAGAAAACTAACTTACAAACAATTTGTGAAGAAACATTTTGAAAAAACAAGTATTTTACACTTAACATATGAAATCTTATTTCACCTGTTAAATTATAACTTTCACAAGAATTTATTTTTATAAAAATTCATCTCTGCAAAAACAATTAAATAAAATATATTTTCAATATTCATATAAAAATTAAATGTAAGCTTTATGTGTGTTTGTGTATATATATATATATATATATAT